GACATGTGGTACATACTTTAAATTTCGCAGAATTACCAAGAGCGCCAGAAGCTTGTAATCTTTTAAGGTGGGAACGTTGACATATCAAGCGAAATTTCTTGTAAACGTCTGACTGTGAGTTTGTAAAAAATATGAACAAAATTTGCAAATGTCTTTAAATATTCTTGCTGAGGTGGCATTAAATAAGTACTCACTGAAAGGGTTTACAAGTATTTATTTTTACAAGGTATGAGTGGAGCAAGCTTTAAAGCGTCATCTGCTATTTAAGTCTTCACCTTTTAACCCGATGTTGAAGTGTCACTAAATTTAATTTTATTTTTATTATTTTTTATTTAACCACATGTATTGTTGTGGATTTACAATGAATTCAATTAAAAATGCGCTTTTGAATTTGTATAAGATTTATTTGTAAATCCTTTATATAAAAATATTTTTAGGTTTTTGTAAGGAGGGGGACAGTGTATATAAGATTTGGGCGTGCTCAACTTTAGCCTTCCATTCTTATTATACTTGTACATATTTTAAATTTTGTGGTGACGTGGCAAACACACACACCTAATGTTTTTCCGAAGAATTTTTCAATAATATAGTTGTATTCAGTAATTGCTCAACTGTAGGTCAGATATAGTCAAGAACAAATTCTATTTTTCTTTGGAACGATTTATACTTTTCCCTGCTCACCTTATTCTGAAACCTTTTTCTGAAGTATCAAAGAGTCCATGCGACCGTCATAAAATATTTCGCTCCCAGCTCTTTGCCAAATGTCGCCGCTTAGTTAGAGTGTAAAATATTTTGAAATGTTTTTCTTCGTTTGTGTTCAAATACATACATAAGTATGTGAGAATTTGTGGATGAGAGTTGTGTGCTTGTATTTGCGTCGGCATTTCCTTTAATTTAATGCCATTTTCAGCTGAGTGCAGGTGACGGCATTTTTGCAATGGTCATTCCTTCTAATTCTGCGACTCCAAAACGCTTGCGCAAGCACTTCGCCCGCTCTGCCCACTTAGCAGCTCTTGCCAAAATATCAAAAATAGAAAGAGCCAAGTTTGTGCATACTTGCAAGCGCGACCTTTGTGGAATTTCAAGGATTTTTTTATTATTTGCGAGAAGGACAAGAATAAAAATGTGGGCGAGAGTGAGTTAAAGTTATTTTCATGTGCCAAAATACAAATCTTCCACTCGATTTGCACTCGAACTTCATCGTCGACTTGAACTTCGTCAGTTCGTTGGCTGGCGTATAAGTGATTGGGCTGGCAGTTGCCATAACGAATCATTGAACACGGTTGCGTCAAACACTGTCAATGTCGTCGCTGCCTTGGCTCCCAGCCCAGCCCATCCATATTCATTCCACAAAAATAAAATTGACTAAATGTAGGCAGAGCTCTTTGGGGCTTTAGTGCTGCACATACTCGCTCGGGCAGGCTCCCGTTTAAAATTAGCGTACAACGCATTAGGGTTAGCAACGGTGACAGACTGTTGAGTCAGCCCCGCTTTGTGGGCCCGGAGAGTGAAAAGTATTTTGTGTCCATAGGCAACCTTATCGTTTCAGTATTTCATACAAAAGACACACAACTGTCGACCTGGCGAGATGTTTGGCTGGCCATCTTGCTACCTGCCCTGCTGTGGTCGAGACTATGGCGAACGTGGATTCATTCAACTCTGCGCTAATGTCACATGCTTTGATTACAGGGGCGTGAAATTTTATTGATTGGCCAGCTAACGTCAGATAAATGATGAAGCAATGCCTAGCACAGGCAACATGCAACGAGCCGAGACATTGTCAATAACGGTTAAATAATTGAGGCAATGTTCGGCTACTGGATATCCTTTAAACCTTTTTCTACGATTCCAAAGATCAATTTCAAGCAAAAGCAAACAAATATGCAAAAATTCGAATATATAAATCTTTAAGTTGTATAGGCACTACAATAAGGAAGGTCTCACTGCATATTACCCAACCATTCGAATTGATTAGCATTATATCTAAATCAATTCATTTATTAGTCTGACTGTTACGTAGAATATAATAAAATTAATATAATCCACTCTTGCATTCATGGCAGCAGGGCATTGTAAACGTTCAAGCATTCAATTTGCTTACAATGTCCTTCACACAGTGTGCATGTGTACGTTGTTGTTTTTGAGTGTTTGAAGCCGTCTAACGTATAGTATATTAACTGCTGCTATATTTTTCGTTGTTGGTAGTCGTTGTAGTTTTATCTATAGATCCACTTGCAAGCTCTAGCAGTTGCTTTACTCTCCTCTTCCTGTTGATTTCTTCTTTCAATGTACGCGTCTTTTCTTCGTGCCCACGGTATACACTTTCCATATAAAACGAAACGGAAAATGGTTAAATCTCTTGCAGAAGCAGCATCGCCAAAATCGAATTGAAATTTCTGTAATTCAAAGGCAGGCAGACGACAGGCAATCTGTTGAATCTCTGATTGAATGAGCTGAAGGTGAGGTACGGTTGGCTGACTGCCTGCATTGAGTGAATGATTCCATGATGCCCAATACACATCGATAATTTGTCAAGAGACAACCATTTTATTTGCATAAATTCGATTCCAATTTTTTAACTGTCCTTGTGGAATGGTCCGCAATATTTCTATAGAGCAGTTCAGGACTGAGGGTGGAGGGAGTTTATTTAAAACCACAAAAGGTTAAAACTATGTTTATATAAGCGTAGTTTTAGAAAACTGATAACTTTCACAATAATGTTTAAAAAAATATACCGTTCTGACCACGAAAGTATTTATATAACGGTTCGCAAACAGGGAATATTCAGTTATTTGGAATTTAAAATTTCAATAAATCCATATTATGAGATCACATTTTTGGTCCAGTCCCCAAAATTCGAAAAAAGGGTCCTAAACACACATATGTATGTATGTACTTGCACAGCTTCAAAAGAAGCCAAATTAACTTTAATTATAGATATTATCGATTCAAATTGGAATGGGTAAATCAATGAATATATGGTAGCAACCATAACAAGAAAGGAATGCTAAAGTCGAGCAGGCTCAACTCTTAAATACCCTGTACCACCCCACAAAAAAATAATTAAATTAATTTAATTAAATTAATTAATTAATTTAATTTAACTAAATTAATTTAATTTATTAACCAAATTAAATATAAAATATTCCATGCATGCATAGATACATTTACATTTACATCAGAATCGTGCCTTATGCGTGTTTGTGTACTTGTACATATGTATGTATGTATGTGTGCATTGGGCCTGGTTATATGGCTATAACTTTCTTTCCGATCATTCTATCATATTGAAACTTAGTATACGGATATACAATTACTAACTGGATGTGTCTACCAAATTTCAGTTCAAAATTCCAATTACGGGAGTTATAGAAAATCGTTAACAGGGGGGGAGTGGGGGGGTGGATCAGAAAAAATGAACAAACTCGTCCTTTCTCGGTCTCAGGAGAATCTGTATACCAAGTTTGGTTATTCTAGCTCTTATACTTTCGGAGATCCTTGCGTTCATACAGACAGACAGACAGACAGACAGACAGACGGACAGACGGACATGGCTATATCGACTCGGCTTGTCATGCTGATCAAGAATATATATACTTTGTGGGGTGTACCAAGCCTCCTTCTGTGTGTTCCATGTGCACTCGCACAAAACTAATATACCCTTGTACCCTTTGGGTACAGGGTATAAAAATAATGTTTTATATAAGAGTTGTATAACATATGTTAAAGAAAGCTATTCAATCTGTACAGGGCGAAACGCAAAGGGCTAAACTTAGCCAATCTAAATTAATATTTTAATAGCAGGTAGAAGGTCATTTTTGAAGCTTGTTTTACAATTTTATAAAACAAAAACAGTTTTACAAATCAGAAAAACTAAAAGCTTACCCGTAAATATATGGCAATTTCACAAATTAACAAAGTGCTATACGTTTTATTAGTAACCAATTGTATGAGGAATTAAAAATACATATCAACGTACATACATACATATGTACATATAAATGTACTTATGGAATCAGAACATTTTTAGAGCTTATTAGCGTAATAACGATAACACGCAATGACTATAAAAGCACCGGGCCAGATAAGCAAAGGCAAAGATTGTATCATGTATATACATAAATACATATGTATGTATGTATGTTTGTATGTACATATATACATTCATATCGAAAACAAGTGGAGAAGTCGGGTTTGCCGACTTTGAAATACCTATCATGCTGATCAAGAATACAAGTATGAATGTATACTTTGTGGGGTCTGCCACGTCTGCTTCTGCCTGTTACATTCTTCAGCTTGCGCATACCTAATATAAATATCTACATACATACATACGTCTTATACATTTCATGTACAGAGTATAACAACACAAAGCAGATAAAGAAAAACGTGTGTACACACAATCTACGAATTGTACAAATACGATTTATTCCGGAAGGTGTTATAAATTAGTAGTGTGTACTACTGCATGCAAAACTCAGGCAAATGATTAGAGCAAACAAAATCAACGAGCGCGGGCGCTCACAGCCATTACAGAAATGTGCCCCATTGCCCCGCACTTTGTTAAACAACAACAACAATTAACGCAAAGAGCAGCGTACAGCTGTTCGACTGGCCGCTTGAGTTTAACAACACCGAAACAAATGAGAGCGCGAGAGAGCGAAAAACACCCGAGACTTTGAGAGCGAGTTGCCAACCAAAGGCAAATCTTCATTAGACATTTAAAGCAACTAATATTAAAAGAAATCCGCATTTAAAGTAAAGTTTATGAAAACTTAATTTTTATGTAAATTAAATACCCATTTAAATGCTCTGTGAATCTATTAGCACTAGCTTTTTGCTTTGTATCCACTTTACTATGTGCGCAAGCTGGCAACTCTGTAACTACGTCATCAGCTGTGCGCCCACGTCATGCCGCTGTGTGTGTGCGCGCAAGTTTGGTTGCAATTTTGTTTTTTTTTTTTAATATATAAGTTTAACAAATTGCATTTTGAGGCAGGCGCCACTAACAACAAGCCAGCAACTCACGTGCAAGTGGCCAACAGTTGGCCTAAAATTAGAACGTTGACTGTCGCAACAGTGACGTGCGTGACATTGAATCTCATTTTGCGGCATCGCAGAGACTGAGAGAAAGCTACTACAAGCAAAAAATAAACGAGGAAGCATTGCTGTGGTGGTGGTGATTTGGTTCGTTGGCTGGCAGTATCAGCTGCTCGCTCTGCGCGTAGGGAAAAAATAAAATTCTTATTAAGTAGAGAATTGCGTATCGCTTGTTTAACAATTGCGAAAATTCTCCAATAGCCAAGGAAAACGTACAATAACACACTGCAAACTTGCATTCCCCATCAGGCGTTGCATTTTATTAACAGCCAATGCCAGATGAACACAAAGTAACAAACACTAGCAAAGACCAGAAAAGCAACGACTTCTACACAAAACTGGAAACTGTGAGTCAAAACGTAACCACTGAGTTCCACGCGCCTGCATTTAATATCAACGCAAACGGCAGACTGTTTGTTGTATAACCGCCACACGAAAGCGAGCTAGCAGTATTCCAAAAGTGACCTAAACGTGTCCAAAAGTGAAATCGCAGCCATGTCCATCGCACAGACAGTACCAGTACCAGAAAAGAAGAAGAGTGTACCCAATGGCATTAAGTTTCTTTTTGGTGGTCTCTCTGGCATGGGTGCCACGATGGTAGTGCAACCCCTGGATTTGGTGAAGACACGAATGCAAATCTCTGGAGCGGGAAGCGGCAAGAAAGAGTTTCGTAATTCGTTCCACTGTATCCAGACGGTGGTGAGTCGCGAGGGACCTTTAGGTCTGTATCAAGGCATTGGAGCGGCCCTGCTGCGTCAGGCTACCTACACCACTGGCCGCCTGGGAATGTACACCTATTTGAATGATGTTTATCGCTCACGGTTCGAACGGGAGCCTAATGTAATGGACAGCATGGCCATGGGAACTATTGCTGGAGCATGTGGCGCTTTCATCGGTACGCCCGCTGAGGTGGCCTTGGTGCGTATGACCTCGGATGGACGCCTCCCACCGGCTGAGAGACGTAACTACAAAAATGTGGCCAATGCTTTGATGCGCATCACCAAGGAAGAGGGTCTAACAGCATTATGGAGAGGCAGTTTGCCAACCGTAGGACGCGCCATGGTTGTGAATATGACTCAATTGGCTTCATATTCGCAGTTTAAGACCTATTTCCGAACCGGACCGCTGCAAATGGATGAGGGCATTAAGCTGCACTTCTGCGCCAGCATGTTGTCTGGCCTGCTAACCACTATAACATCAATGCCTTTGGACATTGCTAAGACCCGCATACAAAATATGAAGATGGTGGATGGAAAACCAGAATATCGCGGCACCGTCGACGTCTTGTTGCGTGTGGCCCGCCAAGAGGGCGTATTTGCGCTCTGGAAGGGATTTACGCCCTACTATTGTCGTTTGGGGCCGCACACAGTGCTCACTTTTATATTGCTGGAGCAACTGAATCAGGGCTTCAACAAATACGTTTTGGGTGTGGAAAAAAGCGGTTCGGGATTGTGAGCAAAAACTGAATCAGAAGTTGTTAAAGTTTTGCAATCGTACCTATACCACATACACTTATCCACATACCTTATTATAAGAAAATCGATGTACGACCAGCGATCTATGCCAATATCAAAAGCGAACCCTAATCAGCCGAGCTAACAAAGTTGTGAAGAGAGTAGGATTAAACCAGGACAATATAACTGCGAGTGTACTCGTATATATTTAATACATGTAATCAACGTAGGGCATTTAAGAATCGGAAATTCCGTTGACAATATTACAATGTTGAGACAGTTTTCTATATAACTTGTTAAGCTTTAAGTTGAAAGTCGATTCTCAATAAAGCACATATAATCAAACGACACAAGCAAATGTCAGCAATTTAACGTCACTAGGCCAATGTTTTCGCTCTTATTATCCTGTTTAGTGTTTCTATTTCTCGCAACATTGTTTTAAGCGCAGCATCTGTTGTAAGCATCAGTAAGCGAAAGCGATCCCAGGAGGCAGTGCAACATTAAAGTGCTTTTTGTCAACTGTGATGCTACCCATATGGCCACATTCTACACTGAATTGTAATCGCTATCAGCTAGTTGCCTCTATATGGCTACCGTATGCGAATGTCCGCGATAAGCTCTATCGTTAAACTTGCCAGAGAAATTTTGTATGAATGTTTTTATTATAGTTGCACAACAGAAATCGACGTTTTCCGAGTGCAGGCAACCAAGTCAGCCACCAGCTTCAAATGATAGCGTGGCTGCTTTGCGTACGCTGATAAGACCGACGATAACCTTTAGGCAGGGTATAATAAAGTAGAACTCTTGTTATTGCCCTGGACATGTTTATTACTACAGTACTGGTTGGCCATTAAAGTGAAATCGCAGCCATGTCCATCGCACAGACAGTACCAGTACCAGAAAAGAAGAAGAGTGTACCCAATGGCATTAAGTTTCTTTTTGGTGGTCTCTCTGGCATGGGTGCCACGATGGTAGTGCAACCCCTGGATTTGGTGAAGACACGAATGCAAATCTCTGGAGCGGGAAGCGGCAAGAAAGAGTTTCGTAATTCGTTCCACTGTATCCAGACGGTGGTGAGTCGCGAGGGACCTTTAGGTCTGTATCAAGGCATTGGAGCGGCCCTGCTGCGTCAGGCTACCTACACCACTGGCCGCCTGGGAATGTACACCTATTTGAATGATGTTTATCGCTCACGGTTCGAACGGGAGCCTAATGTAATGGACAGCATGGCCATGGGAACTATTGCTGGAGCATGTGGCGCTTTCATCGGTACGCCCGCTGAGGTGGCCTTGGTGCGTATGACCTCGGATGGACGCCTCCCACCGGCTGAGAGACGTAACTACAAAAATGTGGCCAATGCTTTGATGCGCATCACCAAGGAAGAGGGTCTAACAGCATTATGGAGAGGCAGTTTGCCAACCGTAGGACGCGCCATGGTTGTGAATATGACTCAATTGGCTTCATATTCGCAGTTTAAGACCTATTTCCGAACCGGACCGCTGCAAATGGATGAGGGCATTAAGCTGCACTTCTGCGCCAGCATGTTGTCTGGCCTGCTAACCACTATAACATCAATGCCTTTGGACATTGCTAAGACCCGCATACAAAATATGAAGATGGTGGATGGAAAACCAGAATATCGCGGCACCGTCGACGTCTTGTTGCGTGTGGCCCGCCAAGAGGGCGTATTTGCGCTCTGGAAGGGATTTACGCCCTACTATTGTCGTTTGGGGCCGCACACAGTGCTCACTTTTATATTGCTGGAGCAACTGAATCAGGGCTTCAACAAATACGTTTTGGGTGTGGAAAAAAGCGGTTCGGGATTGTGAGCAAAAACTGAATCAGAAGTTGTTAAAGTTTTGCAATCGTACCTATACCACATACACTTATCCACATACCTTATTATAAGAAAATCGATGTACGACCAGCGATCTATGCCAATATCAAAAGCGAACCCTAATCAGCCGAGCTAACAAAGTTGTGAAGAGAGTAGGATTAAACCAGGACAATATAACTGCGAGTGTACTCGTATATATTTAATACATGTAATCAACGTAGGGCATTTAAGAATCGGAAATTCCGTTGACAATATTACAATGTTGAGACAGTTTTCTATATAACTTGTTAAGCTTTAAGTTGAAAGTCGATTCTCAATAAAGCACATATAATCAAACGACACAAGCAAATGTCAGCAATTTAACGTCACTAGGCCAATGTTTTCGCTCTTATTATCCTGTTTAGTGTTTCTATTTCTCGCAACATTGTTTTAAGCGCAGCATCTGTTGTAAGCATCAGTAAGCGAAAGCGATCCCAGGAGGCAGTGCAACATTAAAGTGCTTTTTGTCAACTGTGATGCTACCCATATGGCCACATTCTACACTGAATTGTAATCGCTATCAGCTAGTTGCCTCTATATGGCTACCGTATGCGAATGTCCGCGATAAGCTCTATCGTTAAACTTGCCAGAGAAATTTTGTATGAATGTTTTTATTATAGTTGCACAACAGAAATCGACGTTTTCCGAGTGCAGGCAACCAAGTCAGCCACCAGCTTCAAATGATAGCGTGGCTGCTTTGCGTACGCTGATAAGACCGACGATAACCTTTAGGCAGGGTATAATAAAGTAGAACTCTTGTTATTGCCCTGGACATGTTTATTACTACAGTACTGGTTGGCCATTAACATTAACTGTTATTTAAAATTGTTCACCAGTCGGTCTAATTTGGGGCTTACATCATTTTAGCCCCTGCAATAAAACCCAACTTTTATTCGTTGGTTGAAAAAATTTAATTTTGAACTTTTTGCTTGCTTACAAGTGCATGAATGTTGAATTTGAATACCCTGTGCCCAAAGGGTTTAAAGGTATACTAGTTCAGTGCGAATGTATGTAACCAACAGCAAGAGGCGTGGCAGACCCCCAAAGTACATACATATATATATTCTTGATCAGTACTTTCACTTTACTCCTTCAATTATCAATTACAAGCGTCTAGTGCTTATGTTAAGTTTCATTGAGTTAGGTCAAATGTAAAGGCAGTTATAGCCATGAATGGCCGCAACTGTCGCCGTTGTTGCTGGTTTGCCACAAATCTGCGCTGAACACATGCACGAACACATAGTCACGCATAACCACACATTTACCAACCTCGATGTAAATGTAGTCATTGTATTAAATCAGTAAAAAAAAACCATATTTACATGTTATATTTTAATTTAATTTATCAATTTAGTGTTAAAAAATTAAATTGGAAATTATTATTCTTATTTTTTTTTAATTGGGTACAGGGTATATAAGAGTGGCCCGCCCGACTTTAGCATTCCATTCTTCTTATTTATTACAGCTCAGCCCATAAAATTTCGCAGAAATTTATTTAAAAAGTTTCTTATTATAAAGTAAGTTTGTTAACTCAAGCGTTGTATTTTGACCACTAAAGCGCGAACTACCCAAACCAACGTTGCAGCAGCCACAACCGAATCTAACCCTCAAAAATAAAACAGCACATAAAATTAATTTTATTTCTCCGCTTATAAAGGGGAGTCGGAAGCTATGTTTATCCGATTTTGCAGTGACACAGTTATTACCTCCAAGGGGTTCGACTAGCTCCTGGGCAGCATTTACAAACACCCAAAAGTTAATACATAAATAAGTGGGCCACAATTATGACAAACGCGAATGGACCAGCAATGAAGCATATATCAAGCTTTGTACAAACTTATACAATTCCAATCTTAACTTTAAGTTTACCCTCATAAATACTCCAACTCTCAATCGTTTGGCTTTTAATTACCTCAACGTGCCAACTTCATCAGCTCCAACTCCGTTGCTTCGTAATTAAAGTATTGCACTCTCCTACACATATAGAACAACCACACTGACACTCATGTGACACAAATATGTATGTACCTATATGAAAGTAACTTGAACAGATAAAGGGGCGTCGGGGATTGGAGTTGAGATTGGCTCAATGATCAACGGCACATTTGGTTGCACTTAAAAGCGCTTGTGTTTTTTGGCATGGATGTAAACAGGATGCTCTTGTGCATGAATACTTGTGTGATTATGGAAAACTTTTGCGCAGTATTCATAGTGCATTTAACTTGTGTTCATATTAGCGTGGTGTACAATTTGAAACTCACACGTTTAAGTTAACACAAGGTTTTCGCGAACAAATCGGATAAATGGGTTGAAGTCACAAATATCCGTTGAGCTGCGGGCTCTACGGAACGTGCAACGGCGTTGGGAATCTATTTAACATGAATTTTTAATTAACACGCAAAGCACACAGACTCACTGTCGTCCTAACAGTCATATGTTTGGTGACATACAGACATTCAAACGTATATATGTGAACCATGTAAATGTAATTAATTGAACGCGGTACCATTGAGCATACATAACAAACAGTTGGCCAACGTGCAATCCATGCGCCCATCCACGCATGCAGCGACGCTGTACCATTGGCCATAGCTATAAATGTGTAGCCTTATATTCCATTAAGCCCATTTAAAAAATGTTTTTTTTTTTTTGTTGCACCATTAGTAAATATCGGATAAAAATGTAATCTTGGTCACTTAGAAACTCTCGAAAATAATACAAAATAAACTGCAATTTAGCCTTTTGAAAATTTATGCGCGAATCATCAAGCTTTGACCATTTCATCACTTATTTTCAACTGAAAGTTTATTTGTAAATTTTTTAACATAGTTTTAGTTTTTTGTGGGGTATTAAGGAATTGTTCTACTCTACCGTTCTACTTAGCATTCCTTTCTGGTATACTTGTTTTTGTGTGTTTCGCTCAACGGCCCACCAGTGACTAGCACACAAAGTTGGCTGTTTATTTTAGAACTTTACATTTGTACGAATTGATTTCGCTATTAATTCCTTTGGGGACGGAGGACGGGTGAGTGTAGCAAAAATCCAGGCTTAGATCCATACACTGGAATTGGACGCATCTGTTTAACTTCCCCGTTGCGGTCTACGTGGATATGACGAGGCTCATAACTCATCGCATTCTGTTAGCTGAGCAGCACGGTGTTGTAGCTTTTGTGTTCGCTGTATCGTTTTTCCTCTTTTCTGAATCGCTAATTGCAATACGATGCTCTAGTCTGGGCAAAATGCTCGGTTGCTGTTGCTCGTGCGCCTGAACCCTTTCGCCAAACTAATTGCTTTCAAAAACATTTCAAATCCTCAACTTTTTCAATTTGCGCATTAAGTAAGAGTTACATCATCTCTTTATACCGACCTGTTTTTGAAGTGTAGTCGTGAGGGTGATGATAATGTTGGTGACCATGTAATTGCACGCTGCACATTTGCTATTGCTTGATTCCATACACACAAAATTTTGTGACTTCAGCTCTTATACTGTATGTTACAAAAACTGACATATTTTACCGTTTGAGTATGTATGTATAGGGAAGAGAAATGGTAGGGCACAGAGAAGTTGCGATTGCATTTCAATTTGCTATATTATATGAATAGGCAGCTACTGCTATCGTTTTATTTTCCACTCAAAGAAAAACTTTAGCATCTGAGAAGTTTACGTTTACACTTTCCCCTTACTGCTTTTCTTTATTCCTACAATTTTGTTTACTACCTCCAGGCCATATTCATGTGGGTTGTTATTCGACCTTTGTCATCATGTTGCTTGTCATTTGCGTTTTCTTGCCTTTTATTTTTCCGGCTGTGCTCGGGATATTCTTGTTTGCCGCTAAGTTATTGGCGTCAAAATTGTCATTTGTCAAATTCATTCGTTTTCTTTGATTTAGTTCAGACATTTTGTTATTAGCCGCATTCAATTTCGATAAAAACTTTTACGTTTCTTGTGTTCTTTATTAATATACTTCTTGCGGTTCCCTTTTTCTTAATGATTTACTTAAGCCCACGCCTCCAGGTCGTTCTTTCTTTATACAAACTTGGCTTTGTTTCAAGTTTTTTTGTTTCTTTGGTGTCTTAAAACAAAAACTTCACTTAATTGACTGCTTCGAAAGTTAGTATTTCCTTTGCTTCTCATCCTAAGCCTGTTTATATCCGCCACTGTAAAGTGGACAGAGTGAAATAGATATGTTAGTATGTACGAGTATGTTCTACTGTATACGGATTCGTCTGCCTTGTTACTTTTCTTTAATTTCAAACCAAAACCTAAGTATTTATTATTTTACTTTTCTTTGTTTTGTAATGAAAAATTAGTATGGGCATTGTAAGTTAGATTGACGGCCTTTTCCCTCGAAGAAACATTTTTTATTTCAAACGACTACTATATGTATACATATAAAGGTTTAGCGGGCCTGAAGATAACAAAAAATTGAGGTAACATTTTTTTAATTTATTTATTTTCTTGTGGTTTGTAACATTAGCAATGCTTATGCACTTTAAATAATTTAATTGAATTTAATTTGCCACAAATTACGGGCGGCTTTTATGAGCCATCATGGTGTCATCTCTGGGCCGAGATTTATTAGAGTATAAAATTTAAGACTTACTGTAATTTACTGTTACAACGGGAATTTTACAGCCAACAACAACCACAAAAATGGCAGCAGCACCAACAGTGTCAATGTCATTGTTAAACTTGCGGCTCATCAGCAAATGCCATGGAACGCCCAATGGCCTCGCACAGCCACTGTTGTTGTTGTTGGCACAGAATATAAGTGAATTTAAACACACAGGCGCAGATATACACAGCAGTGCCAGCAACCACGATTGAAGGCCAGGATGGCTTGTACTGACAATTTTGTTGGAAAATGCAGCGGGGTCGCTGGGAAATTGAATGAGTGTGTAATTTGTATTGCATTCGTGTATATGCTTGTATTTATGTGTAAGTGCGTATGTATGCGTGAAGTTATGCAAAAATAAAAATGCCTTATTTCCAATGCCGACTCTGGTGTCCTCCGCTCTGCTCTTCTGCCTTTTTAGCAAGGTCAACTCAAGGATAGCGCAAATTTACGTGATTCAACGTTCAACTTCGCCGCTTATTGGCCGTCGGTTGCTTGCCTGGATTTTCATGCCTTTGTTTCCATGCCCCACACTTACCAATATCTGTGCATGTTTTGCTTGTTCCTTTTTTTCATTTTATACTGATGCACAAAGAATGACAAGAAAATTGCGTATGTGGCTGTTTGTGCCAGCAGCCTCATACCATGCTCTATTTGTAGCCACTCCCTCTCCAAAAGCCTCATAC